AGCCATGCAATGCAGTAGTAAATCCAGTTCAACTTGCTGGTTAAATTGGATTTATGGCTGCTTTATGATGAGGGAACAGCACAAAGCAGTCAAAAAGTACCAGAGAATCTGGCCCAATATGATGAAAAACACCTAGACCAGCCTTTATACTCAATTAAAATTCTGGAAGAGTAAAGTCACCATACATAAAACAAGTGAAGTGCATTCTGATGCTCATAGTTAAAGCTCCACATATGTTTTCATTATAAAATATAAATTGTTGATACTTATAACTTTGGCAAGATTTTACCTTTCGGGCTGAAATTCAACATATTTATTCCCAATCGAAGAGAGTTTTCCTGGCAAGTTTGAGCAGAAATGGTGTAGTCATTCTTGAGAACAGAGTGAAATTAGAGACGTTTTTTAAGGGCAACTCTAGGACATTAGTTAATGTGGTTAATTAGGGCATGTGGTGTGTGACAGGGTGTTCCACTCACTACCAGGATGGCATCTTCTCCTGGCCAGTTTGGGGAAATGGCTAGCCAGGTCAATGCCCTTTCCCACAGTTGCACACCAGCTCCCTGGGGCAGTGGGTCCTCTCTCACTCCACGTACCGCAGCTGCTCCATTGTGACTTAGCCCTCCGGCCAGGTCACACTCCATGTGCTTTCTCCTTCTGGGCACCTGTCTTTCTAAGTGTCTCTCCACACTAGGGCTACGTCTAGACAGGCATGATTTTCCGCAAATGCTTTTAACGAAAAAATGTTCTGTTAAAAGCATTTTCGGAAAAGCGCGTCTAGATTGGCACAGACGCTTTTCCGCAAAAAAGCCCTGATGGCCATTTTCGCGATCGGGGCTTTTTTGCGCAAAACAAATCTGAGCTGTCTACATTGGCCCTTTTGCACTAAAGCTTTGCGCAAAAGGGACTTTTGTCCGAACGGGAGCAGCAGAGTATTTCTGCAAGAAGCACTGATTTCAGACAGTAGGAAGTCAGTGTTCTTGCAGAAATTCAAGTGGCCAGTGTAGGCAGCTGGCAAGTTTTTCCGGAAAAGCGGCTGATTTTCTGGAAAAACTGGCCAGTCTAGACACAGCCTAGCAGTTTCAGACAATTTTCTCCTTCACTGCCCCGTGGTACCACTCCATCAGTGGCTGTCAGGGGATGCCAGGCCCACCTTCTACTTCAGGTCAAGGAACTTTTCTATTCCTGGTCTGTTCTCTCCTAGACTTTACTGCCTTTCCCTGAGCCTTCTGCTACCAACTGGCACTCCACACTTGCTTAGGTTTGCAACCTCCTTACTCCCCTCTTCCAGGGGAGAGTAATTATGGGCTCCCTGCCCCTGTAGCCCCCAAGCATTCTTCCCTTCTCCTAGGGGGTGACTGCAGCCTTTCCCAATGGCCACCTTCTATTGCCAAATTTCTATATAATCCCAGCCAAGCTCCTTCCTCCTCAGCTGAGCTCCCTCACTCATTCAGGCCTTGTCTCCATTTACTGGGAGCTCAATCTCCAAGGGGTCAATTTAGCGGCTCTAGTAAGGATGTGCTAAATCACCCACCGATCACACTCCTGTCAACTCTGATAATCCACCAGGTCATGAGGGATAAGAGGAGTTGACGGGAGAGTTTCTCCAGTTGACTCCCCACAGGGGGGACACCACAGTAAGTTGAACTAAGATACATCAACTTTAACTATGCTATTCGTGTAGCTGGAGTTGCATACCTAGTTTGACTTTGCTGCCTAGTGTAGACCTGGTGTCAGTCAGGAGGTTGCTCGACCACCTGATCCACCTCAGCTATGACCTGTTGGGTTAATTAGCCCCCTTCTCACTCTGCATTAATTAGCCCCCTTCTCACTCTGCATTAACCCTTTCCAGGCAAATGGGGGGAGGGGGCAGTAAACACCCCATCAGATGGTTTGATCCTGAAATTTGACAGGCACATATTCTCCATTTCCAAGAGTGTCTTTGTGCATTCTAGTGAAAATCAGTTGCCCTTTGGTCAAGAGCTAATGGCTAAAAGAGCATATTGCAGGCGAGCACACTGGTGTCAATGGACTGCCATGTACATTCCATTAACACTATGCATGCGCTTTTAACAGTGTTTTGGACTTGTGAATACATAAGTCAAGTGGAATATCATTTTTCTATGAAGGAAAATCTGTATCAAGGCCACCACAAGGTGTGCAGGCAGGGGGCCCACGCCTGCTCCCCACTCCTTGTCCACTGATAGGAGCGGGACATTGGGCCTAGCTGCCCATGTGTCATGATAGAAGGGAGGACAGGCCAAATCTGAATGGGACTGCAACTTCATGAACCAGGTCACAAAGCTACTTACTCACATTTGGGCCGGCCATCCCTACATCCAGGTGGAGGGGAGGCCATGTCAAATGTGAGCAGTGTTACAACCCTGTTTGCTGGGGGACAAAGCATCGTGCTGAGATTTGGGCCAGCTACATGCCCCCCTCAGGTCAGAGGGCCAACAGGGCCAAATGTGAGAGTTTCCAGCAGCCAGAGTACCAGGTCCACCAGGAGAAGAAGTGTAGGGGCACATGGAACTCACTAACATGCAGGAGGGTGAGAGGACTGGATCCAGCTTTTGGTGCTTCCAGGGGAAGTGGAGGCACAGGAGGATGGGGTCTGAGTTTTCCAGAACTGCCTGGCCTATGGTGGGGATGATATTCTTTAGCCTGCCCATCTCTATGGGAGAGGGCTTGGGGCTAAGTGTGGGACAAGGAAAACTCAGAGCTAGGTAGAGGGGACAGAGCTTGAAACTGGGTGAGGCGAACTGTGGGATTGCGAGTGGGAGGCTGGGTGTAGGGTAGCAGTAGGGGAATGTGTGGGGCTAGATGCAGGTCAGGGAGAGAGAACTGGGACCCCCTCCTTAGGAAAATTCTGGTTGCTCCCTGGCTGTGGATTATGTCTGTGATGGGTTTATAAAAAAAAGGATGCAGAGCTCTAAAAGAGCCCTGCTTCATATCATGTGATAGCTAATTGTGAATATTATATAGGGCAGAACAGATCATTCTGCTGCTGTCTAGCAAAGAGCGGCGCATGATGGAAATTCTTTGTTTTATTTTCTCTTCAAAAACCAACTCCCAGGAAACTCCATTAAAAAGGACATTAAAATAACATTAAGGCTGCAAAATGAAGCACTCGAAACTCAGGAAATACCCAACTACCCCATAAAACTGTTACTCTAATGGATCCTTCCCCCACTCCGGGTGTGAATGCATTATGAGACAGTCTTTTAGATTATAAACTCATACACTTTTTAACATGGGAGACCTGCCTTATTCAGCGTTGGCGCTGGAGGGTATGCAGTGTATGAGGCATTAAGCTACACTCTGGAGAATAAGGATAAATATAACTATTGAACTCCTGCCTCATTTGCTCAGCACCATCCAATCTATGCACTGAATGGGGTAGGGACCCTAAACAAAAAAATACTGCGTGGGCATGCATACTGTATACATACCAAGGGGGGAGAGTTAAGGATGCACAGACAATCTTAATTAGTATTTCCTGACTTTTCCTATTTATCTTTTTTGATACAGGTTTTTGTATGTGATTTTTACATTCATTTAGTGTAATAACTCCATATTGGCATAAATTGTACTTATATGCCTCTGCAACCGTGTTGATTCCATTGAGAACTGAATTGAGCCACGTGGCTTTTGTTGAGATGCATGTTAATATTTATTGATCCAGATCTAAGGATGAATTTCTTATAGATAGCATGTTTTATTTTTTTAAAGTCTAACCCTTTAAAGAGTAAACAAAGCTTGTGGTCCTGGGGGGGAAACAAAAACTATTACTGGTCTCTGAGGAGCAAATTAAGTAGCAGAGATTTGCCGATGTGCTCTGACTGGCTAATATTGACATAATTCCAGATCATAGTAATGTTGTCCTCTGAAGAAATGTAGCATCCAGATTTATCATGTCTTTTTTTCAACCAATTGTGGCCAACATTTTCTTCTTAGAGGTTACACTAGACATAATATAACCAGAATGAGAGATTTTGCTCCACTAAATGTTTATAGTTCTATCAAAAGTGCATCTTTCTGTATTTGCTAGCTGTTGGGTTTAGATAAATGAACATAGTTTGCCTCAATCATTTCCTGCCATCATTTGTAGATCATTACTGCAGCACAAACTCACATTTTATTAAGGGTATCACTTAATCAGATAACTCCATGAAAGGTTTCTAAGTAGTAAGTAAACATGGTTTTTACTGACTTTGGATGAGCATACACAGAGGTAGCCGTATTCGTCTTTCCAAACTAAATACCCTCATGGTCTGAAGACAGCTGGCTTGCTTTTCTTGGCTGCTGCAGAGTTTTAGCTCGGTGAAATTACAGCCAAATAATAAATGTAAGCCTATAGAAAACTGAAAAACAGTAAAGAAAATAAATCAGATTGATGGTGTTCCAGTCCAAAATTCTTTTTTTCTTTGGGGTTTCTCTCTTATGAATGTGCAGTGTGCGTTTTATAGATTTCAAGGCCAGAACAGACCATAATCTAGTCTGACCTCCTGCTCTTTATGTAATTTTTCTTTATTTCTTTGGATTTATATAACACTAAAAAGAATTTACTCCCGCATGAATACATTCAACCAAATAGCATATGTGTATCTACTCCATTAAAAAAGATAGCT